GGGCATCCAATTGTGTAAGGCTATTGGAAACCAAAAAATGAAGGAATGGGATAGCTATTATTCGATAAAATCGGCAGATGAGAACACCAAAATCAATGTTTTTTTTCAGTGGCTGTGTGACCTTGTGTCTGACACATTCATATGCAAATGACTAATCTGTGAAATAAACAGGGGCGGAGACAAACCACTCAAATGTTTGGAAACACTCATTGTGTGTCAGAAAGCTACTGATAACACATCCTAACATTGCTTTGTCTTGAGTTAATCTTTGAAACTTATAGGCACACAGATTAAACCTGTGTTGTTGATTTTGGAAAACACTACTGAAGCTGCCTTGCTTCCCTTCAGAAATTCTACATTTTAACCAACTTACATGACATTCTATGTTACGTTGACTTTATCAGATGAAAGTTTATAGTGCATTTCATCAAGTAATAAATAAATACGAAAATCGTAATTTTCAACACAAATAATAGTCTCGCTACCTTAAAAAGATAAATATCAAATTTAAAATACTTCTGAATTGTCCAGTGTATATATATATATACATGAAACAACTACACATGGCAATGCTAACTCAGGGTATGATATTTAAACCGGGCTTGTTGCTTGTGTCGTATTTCATATTTTAAAATTAACTGTAAGCTTTTTCTTAGCGCTGAAACCCACTCATTAAAACTATGTACACATTCAGCCACAGTGCCTCAAATGTGAGAATTACACAAACACACATCTAAATATGAATATTTAATAACGTAATTGTTTATTAATGATTGTAGATGCAGTATAGTATCAATATTGGAGTAATCACATCAATTACAAACGCCGCGATACCAATAATGACAACAAAAGTTATGCTTTTGAAATAACTAAATGCAATCAAATATCACTCAGTCTGGATACGATAAGTACATTCACAAATATTTACACTGTAACATGTCATTATGAAAAGAATAATGATATATTTGGGCCGGAAACATTTCTGTTTCCGATGTCAGGTGTATAATAATATATACTATCTCTAAACCCGTCGGATGATGTCAATATATTAAGTTTACTTGCCTAAGTATGTTTTGCCTAATTTTGTTTGTAGTCGAAACTAGCACCATTGTTGGAAGATCTACTACTGCCAATATTATATACAACACTGCTTTTAACTACCTCCCCCTGAACTCAGCTTACCATGTAACAACTACAGTTACTATATATTTCAAACAAAAATGAAAGTTTTACCAGCTAATCATGTAGCAACAACTACAACGAATATTACTCGAATTATTTCAATTGTCAGTAAACACCAGTATTACGATAAATATAATGTCAGAAACTAGAGACTTATTGGTATGTTTATATAATAAATGTGGTGTTATTTCACTCAATACTTCATAGAGTTATTTATTTCGATAAGAGTTACAATCATTATATCAATTTCCAAAGGTATGATGTTTGTCATCCCAATCTAGCTTCTCCACAATATATATGCAGCAATGCCAAGGTCTACATAACTCAAAAACATCTAACTACACGGCTCCACTGCCAGTACTGGTTGCGACTACACTGTCACTGGTTGCGAATGGGAATGCCGAATCCAAAAAGTTTAGAACAGATTCAGCGAACTTATTTGTGTGGAGTCAGGTCAAACCCTTGTAGATGAAAATACCCAGTGCAATACCGCAAAATTACGACATGATGTAACTCATGACGTTACGGTGACAGAGGTGTAATACTAATCCTTATACTGACATCTACGGTGGATTTATTTATTAATAAGTGTGTTCAACATTCGGAAATAGCGCCCTCTTAGTTCAAAAATTACTAGTCTTTCCGTGACACTGTTTTTCATACATGCTGCACGAGTTACATATACTTGAATATTAAATGCAATATTAGGCGAGCACAAAGAGGAATATATAATTACATATGTGCTGTAATATTGTATTACCGCATTTAGTGGTATAATTCATACATTGAAAATTATTTGATAAAGTATATTAGAATATATATATATATATATATTGTGTGCTTTTCTCTCCTATTCTGTATCTATGGCCTATACACCCGGTGGATATCAACATGATTATTGTTGTTTCCATAATAGTGACTTGTAATTCCAGCAATTTACTCCGTGCTGTGCAATACTTGGTTTACATCTCATCACGTGTATTTCTATGAATTGGTTGATATCATTGATTGATTAATTTCAATATTTGATCACCATGGTAGATATCATGACATTTTTGCTCTAATAGCTGTGTCTAATTCGTAGTTACAACTTTTGAAAATTACCATACACTTGGCGTGAACCAGGACATTTTTAAAACTTTAATTTATCATTAAAATGAGCCGCATCGATGGCAGTGATGAAAGATTAACTAGTTTATTCTGTTATCGCCAAAGAAAAATATAATTAGAAAGTGTAAATTGAAGTATCTCCATGTTTATATTCTATTTCGTTTTTGATTACATTTTGTTCTGTAAATTAAATACCAATCTCACTCCGATTGAACTGTTTGTAATCTCATTATGGTCGTGCAGGAAATGCGAATACGCCGACAATTTCGTATTTCAGATGAACTTGGAATACACCGTAAACCTTATTAGTTATAACACAATGCTATGAAACATGAACCAGCGTTATATGATATGGCTGTATTTTAAATAACACACTCTACTATAGGATAAACAACTGATTTTATTATCAATGTCGTTTTATTCTCAAGGGAATGAAAAGAAATGATGCTAAAACACACGATGTTTAATGATTTTTTATTGAATGGCTCCTACTCGATATGTAATTCACACTGATCGGCTATTTGGGTTTAATAAATTAACTGGCATTTTGGAAAATATCTCTAGGAATGTAGTTTTTAAACCTCACCAAAACCATAATTTCTTTTAACCAGAAACTAATCATGATTGGACATGAAAATTATAGTTTACTTTCTGTTAAAACAACAATTATATTTGTGTGTTAGTTGTTTACATCTCATTAGTTGATTTATTTTCATTGGTTGGAGATATCTTTGCATCTTCTCCTATACTGACTATATAGAAATGTGTTCTCTGGAGAACTGTATTTCTATACATTGTATTCCTTTTGAAAAGTGCTAAATCTGTAACGTGAATACAGTAGTATGTGCTAACATTTCACCTACACGGAAACCATCTTCTCCCCTGAAAGATGTATACATTGCCCGTATCTCATACTAAGCCACGACTTTTTTCCGTATGTATGATTGCCTATTTAAAAACTCCTTCCATGTTTTTACAGTCATCACTAAAAAGTAAATTTAGATCAGTTGTTTAATTTACATAAGCGTATGAACCTTATTTAGACTTCAGAATATTTTCCAGACAATTTATAAACGGCTATAGTCGTCAGGCAGCAAGAGTTTGAATTTCGGGCAAACACACAGTGTAGTACAGCCATTATATATGTCACATTTTGCGTATATGGAAGCAACTAGCCATGCATCTTATGAGACAGCTTCAAAGGCTAGTTTCAAAATGATCGAAACTTAAAACAGAAGCTTCTGTTTTCATGCAGTGTCGGTAAATACACTCAAACGTTTCACTTTCTACGAGTAGTAATTGCTTCATACTACTTGGGAGGGATGTGTGTGTAAAAAGAAACATTACGTATTAAGTTGGAGAGAATTGCTGCTTCGATAAGAATTATACTTGGGTAATTGAAGAATATGTATGGAATTGAATGTAGCGGACACTACATTTAGATAATTAAATATTGTTTAAATACGAATACGAATTCGCCAGAAATACAAAAGCAAACTAGTGTTCCTCCCAAGTTAAATATGTAAACATTTTACTAGTCAAAAAAGAGTATCTCCCACCTCCGCTTAGTTTGAATTCGCTGTACTTTACACTATACATTTTAAGCAGGTTTTAACATCATGTTAATAGATAAACGCTACTCGGACCGATAATAAGCCATTGCTCGAAACGTCTAGCTATTTTTAATAGTTACTTAGGAGAACGATTACCAAATATTATCTACTATATATCAGGTTTTAACATGGTTTGTTATTATACATATTGGTTAATGACACGCCTATATTTGACCAACAACATTACTCACCGTGAATTTATTGAAAACCATATTGGTAACGTAACATAGAAATCCCGTCGTAATAGAGTGCATCTTACTCTAGTTACTTGTGTATATACCATTTCTAATCATTTGATTTGTATCGAGTGTAACAGGAAGACGTATCAATATTAGGTTCTGTTAGGGGTGTTGTGTTGAGTATGGCAGTTCACGAGAAAGAGACGACACCAGATTTGCACTATTTAGCTTGGTGCATTTATTTACACGATAACAGATAGGATGAACATTTCTCATTACACCCAGAAGGTTGTTATAATATGACACGAGAGATTTGCACGGAACCATGTTTACATTACACAATAAACGCAAAACGTGGTCTAAACTTGTTACGCTAATCAGCCACTTGTTATATATATATGTATAATAACACCTCCCTCATTTCTATTAATATAATAATCTTCAAATCGTCATTTCAGTGACGATGGCGGTGCGTAAATGCGACACTCATCGTTTGATAGAACGAACCGACACACTGTTACTGTAACAGTGTAATCGTTTGAAAACATAAATGCGCAAATCAATAAAAAAATATTCCTCTTGTTGATAGTACCGTTATTTTCTTATGTAAACCCGCTTAACGCATCATAATTACACCGACATGGTGTGACGTCACGTCTAGGTACACACACATAACATAGTAGTAAATTATTTCGAATATAGATTCAGTGTCTGAAGTAAAGTAATATATATTGATTAGTTGCTGTTGTATAATTTTACTATTGTATAAAATATTTATGTATTATATATATAGATTATATATACATATATAACACAAGTAGATATAATAACACGTCATACGTGTTCACTGGTTAAAACCTACTAAAAGTTTTTTGTTATACAAATTGTGAATTCAATACACGTATTGATGTAATCGCTATGCCACTGTAGTGCTGATAGTAGACATGTTAGTTCTACCAGCGAACGTTTTAGTTTGAAACGTGGGATCTGGCTCAATTTTAGTTTCGCGACATTTATAGAAACAAGGGAATAATTTTTTGAATTCTTTTCTGTAACTTTCATTGAAATACGCGTACAGGATCGGATTTATCCAACTGTTACAAAGAAAAATGAAAATTGCTAAATTTGCAGGGACTATTGAATACACAAATGCATTCCTGGGAAAGGTTTCCGACCAAGTGAAGTAGAACTGCAGCGTGTGGTTAGGGAGCCACGTCAGTGCGAACTGTAGAACGACAAAGCTCAGCATCTTCACGGCTTTCTTCTTGTTACGACTGCTGGAATTCGTCGGCGATTTGCTGAACCATAACGTGAATACCATGATTGAGTATAGAATTGTCAATATCAGAAGTGGAAGGATATACATTATGATCAGATCTGTCAATCGGAACCAATAATCCGTTGCCTCGTCTTTTATATGACATTCATACACTAGTTCATATTCTTCAAATGTTGTGTTGCCGTACTCAAAGGTATATGTCTCGTTCCAGACAAGAACGTCATTAACAGGCAGTTTGAAAGTCGAGTACCCCAACGCGCATACCCACACAATAAAGCACCCGACAAATGCGTTCTGCAACGTCAGCTTTGGCCTCATGGGCTGTACGATTGCACGGTAACGGTCTATCCCGATGCATATTAACGAGAACGTTGTCCCACACTGCGCTGCCCAGTGAAAATAACCCAATATTTTACACATAGCCCTGTTGGATATGGGCGTATGATACGCGAATTGGGCAACGTGATATGGTATAAAAAATACAGCTACCAGTAGGTCAGATATCGATAAAGAAACAATAAACACGTTTGTTGCCGATTTCCGTAATTTAGGTTGACGAGCAACGGCTATTATAACCCAAATATTACCAACTATTATCAAAACCATGAACACAACTCCAAAGACCACTGTTACTGATGGTGGGGTATTCAATTCGTCTGCATCTTTCAAAAGTTGATAATAATCGTAGCTAAATGAGCTGTAATCCCCATTGTCTTCTACTGATCCGTACTCCATTTCTCATGCCACAGTCTGTTGAACGATGCAAAACATGTTAAAATTCAACATTCAAAACTAGAAAAACACAACACGAACATGGCACCTAGTCAATAAACACGAAATTTCATCCTGTGTGTTAAGGATTTTAACATAATCGTTTTAATAAGACACAACTATAACATAATAGTTATATATGTTATTAATAGTTGGTATTTGGTAGTCGTGCTAGTTTAATAACGCGGATGGTGTTCTTGGCGGTTACAATTGTAGACTTAAATTTATGCATTTCATTGCCGACATTATCCATAAATTTATCAATGCGATCGAAATCAACAACTTAAACTTACTGTTTTACGTTATACAGACACATTATCAGCAAATACAGAAAACATATAATTATAATTATTTACACATATATTTACATTATTTATTATTTATTTACATATAATATACTTACCTGAATTAATTAATTACACACTGCAACGTCTATGGGTATTCCACGACCAAGCAATTCCAAACAAATACGTACATGAAATGATCTTGCGTCTTCTACCTGAAACCAAAGAAACGGCACATGAACTGTTATATTATATATTATAAAAGCACTAGTAATATGGACACAATTTTAAGGAAGAGGTGTAATACTATTATGTAAACACAGGAAGCTGTTCATTTAAATGTGCTGTAGAATGGAAGTATAACTTATTATATGATAGTTGAAACGAACACACAAAAAACAGAAATGAGACGTAGAACATATAGCTCAAACCATTCCACTGCAAAGCCCCACCCTTTGATGGTAAGTACGTTTACGACTTATTTTAACCCATCGCCGCCGAGAAACATCGGTTACGGAGATTTTCTTGAATATCGTTAGAAAATACATTCGAACTTTCTGCAGATGTATACCCTCCCCTGGCCCTAATGAATATTTAATAATTATATTAAGATATCATTGGTCGTGATTTCTAGTGGCGATGATTGTCGAATTTAATGTAATTTAACTCGATGTGTATGTACACCACTGATTTTTAAATCATATGATTTGTGATACTCGGATGGAAATTCAACTGATCGAGGTAGTA